GGATGGGCAGAAAACGACAATTGGTGGGGGGGAGAGGGGGGAAGGGCTGAATAGGGGGGGAGGCGACGAGATTGCAGAGGCGGAGGGAATCTCTTCCCTCGCAGAGCCCTAGGGCAGGCGCACATCAAGCAAATTCGGCCAAGGGCCAGCAATTGCCCTCACACAGTCCTCAGCACACATCGAGGCGAATACATGGCTAAGGGCCGATGACCTCCATCACATGACCTCCAACATACAGCGCGGAGATTTTTTTTACCAAGGGCCAATCAGCACCCTCACACAGCCTCGGGGGGCGGGGGAAGGGGGGGAGGAGAACCTCGAAATTCTTGACTGCCCCCCCTAGACACGCTTTTGGAAAGGACTAAGCCTCACTACAATGCTGAGAAATTCAGGGTTCACTAAGAAACCTTGCTGAGCTATCAGAGTTTACCCTTACAAAAAGCCTGAAAAAACAGGGTGTGTCATTCACAAAACCCTGCACAATCAGGGTAAGTACCGAGAAACTCCCTGTTTTTTTCTGAATCAGGAAAATTTTCCTGACTTTTGGGGGCCTGGTTGCGACTGACCGTTACGACTGCAATGGTGGTAACCGAACCGACAATCGAGTCGATGTGCGACTCGATAACCGTTCCCTCAACTGTATTCTATAAATGCTTTATTTCCTACTTTCTATATATTGCTGTATACTTGTTTCTTTTCATCAATCACTTGCTCTCACATACTAGTGCAAGGGTTCAACTACTCAACTTCCGCTGCACTACTCAAGCATCTTGTACAAGTGGGACTTAATCTCTGAAAAGATCCTAAGGGCTTTTCTCAGCCCAACAAGAGGGATACAAGAAGGGGGGTTGTACCCTCTACAGTAGTATCCAATAACACTGACCAAGCCTACCATTATATATATATATATATGTCAAATATACAATTTAACAGTTCACTGGACTAAAGGTGTAGTTAAAATATCGCGGGTTCGGTGTATTTACGGTGTTAACGTCCTGAGTTGCGATTCTGCAAAGCTATCGCACTAGAGCCTTATGTATCACACAGAAGCAGGCCGACGGAGCCTACACCAAAAACGATCATTTTCGCACTAACAGTGTGTCTAAAATACCCAGAGGCACCCGTTGACTGAGCGGATGGGGGCGTGCAAAATCTGTACACTCCGTATAATGCTGATGTATTATCAGCTCAAATTCTAGAAGTACCTAGGCTTGGCTTGGTCTCTCTATTTTTTCACAACTCAAATACCGTATTCCCCCGTATATAAGACCCGCCGAAATAGTCAACCCATGGGTGGCATATGCGGGGGATAGCTTATGATATGGTGCATTTTTTAGAGCACCCGCTTTTTTAAGTACAAATTTTACATAACACCCTCCATCGGGGATTTGTGGATTTGCTTGGTCTAGCATCAAGGTTTTATCATTAGACAACAGTTTTAACACTAGTCTAAAGCCTATCCGTTGTGCGAGGCATTTCTAGTGCATTTTTTATTACCTAAGCTAGCTACCACTGCCATTCACTCAGCACACACTCATAATCCAACAGCTAGCTACATGTCCTAGCAGGGTAAGTCAATAGTTAGTCTCTGTCTTCTTCCTCATCGTGCCAGTCCTCTCCTGCATGCCACACCTCGGCATCTTCATCGTCACTGGCGATGTCATCCCAGTCAAAGTCATCAGTCCAGCGGGATGCAGCCAAGCCCGCCAGAACCTCCGCCGTAGGCATCTCTAGAGCTTCAGCAGCTGATATCCCCACCTCTGTCCCTGCTTCTGTAGAGGTTGTTGCTGCTGCTGCTGCTGTGTGGGCTCCTGGATTCCCAGACGCCTCTGATGCTGGTGCGGGTGTTGCAGCTCCAGATGCACCGGATGATGAGGCACTTGCTGCAGCTTCAATCTCCGCCTCGACATCGGGATCGTCTTCCTCCGAGCTCGGCGTGGCGCTCGGCTCCACATATTCCGACTCGTAGTATGGGTTCAGCGCCCCACTCTCTTCCATTTCGGCATGGACATCTTCCATGACTTCGACCTCGGCGCCGTCCCGCATGTGGGCGAGGATCACCTCGTCCTCTGTGCCGTCGGTCGCATTGGAAATGCCGCACGTCTTGAACGCGCGGCGGATGAGTACAGCTGGCACCGCGGCCCAGGCGTCGGCAATCCACTGCAGCACGAGCTCGGCTGGCGGCTTGCGAAGATTCCCTGCAGGGGAAAACAAAACGACGAGACAATAGGCGGGGGCTTTAGGAGTAGTGGTGGAGAAATGCAAGGCATGGTTTAAAAAATCACGACGCGGGTAGAGGTTTTAAAGACAAAGAATAAACACGGTTACTCACCTGCAGGGGTTGTGGACTCGCAGCCGAATTCTTCGAACCACTCACTGTAGGACCTCCGGACATGCGCCTTGACGCACCGGTTTACCGCCACGTCTAGAGGCTGCACGATAGGCGTACAACCGCCGGGGATGACAGCCCTCGACAGCTTGAAGAGTCGCATCAACTGGGACACTCCCTCCGTCAGGTGTCCCTTGTACGAATCGAGGACCACCAAAGCCTTCTGACGGCCACCGCGCCGCGAGGGTATCGAGCGGAGAAATGGCACCAGGACGGTGGTGACCCAGTCCTTGACATGGGTCTCGTCCATCCACCCTTTCTCCTGGGCCTTGATCACAATTCCTGCACAAGCGCAACGTACGAGACATATGAGTTTGCCCTGGAAAGATAGCTACGAAAAACATTAGCGGTGGCGGCACAAAAAGAGGCACGAAATCCTTACCGGGCGGGACGCGGATCCGAGGTAGTGTCTTCCGCTTGAAGATGACGTACGGCTTCAATTTCTTGCCACTTGCTGTGACGGCCAGCATGACGGTCAGCCTCTCCTTCTCGTAGCCGGCCGTGCGCACATGGACAGTTCTCGAGCCCCGGACTTCGAGTGTCGTCTCCTGCGGCATCTCCAAGAATAGTGGCACCTGATCCGCGTTGATGATCAGATCGTCGGGGTAGTCGTTGAGCGTGCGGAGCTGCCGAACAAACTCCCAGAACTTCTCGACTTTTGCGACACAGTCTGCCAATGAAAATAATAAAAAACAAAAACAGAGAAAGCATAAGTGCGGTCACCAAACAAGGAAGCACGACAAGCGCTAGACGAGGGCAGGGAGTATTCACGGCACGTCAAAGTACGTACCTGCAGTCATGCGCTGTCCCATCTTCGTCTTCACGCGCTTCGTCAGTCCCCAGCGCGCGCGGAACCGGAAGGTCCACCGTGACGAGGCGCGCCAGTCGATGACGGGGTGGTGCTTACGGATGTACTTCCTACTCTATTTCTGCAGCGTGCCGATCGAGACCGCCAGCCCTCGCGCGCGCTGGCCCAAGAACTTCTTGTACAGCTCGCGCTCCATGGTGGGGTACTTCGCCTTCCTACCGGAGCCGATGAGGCGACGCCTGCAGCCAGCCGAGGCAGTGAGTCGTGCCTTGTTCTTCCTCCAGTCGCGAATCTGGCACGGCTGCACTCCAGCCATCCGAGCAAGGGAGCGGTTCGACATCTCCGGCTCCGCCTCCAACTTCGCCAACCAGTACAGCTTCTCGGTTGCCGTCCGTGCGAGTCGCTTGCGATTCGTCCTGCGAGCCCTGGGGGAGGGAGGTGCAGCATCACGGTTACGAAGAGGCATATTACGACAGCGTTGCGCTTGCGGGAAACGAGGGACGATAACGCGAGGAAGTGGGCGAGGAGGTTCAGGCTCGCGGTCGTCAGCCTCATCCTCCTCCCACAACAGGTCGTCGTCATCCTGCCAATCGTTATCCCACTCCGGAGGACGTGTGACCACCGGCGACGAGAGAGGTGGCGGAGCAGGGGGAGCCGGGGGCGCAGGAGGAGCAGGAGGTGCAGGGGGCGCTGGTGGCGCCGGTGGCGCCGGAGGAGCGGGAGGAGCGGGAGATGCAGGCGGATGTCTAGGAGCCGAAGGATCTGGTGGGAAAGGACGTAGCAACGTCTGATTCCCGAAGGGTGGGCGATGAGCTCGCAAAAGTGACACACCATTAATTGCTCGAGCGGCCATGGGGGAAAATTTCGACGAGGGATAACGAGCTAGGTGAGATTGGGCAATGCCCGAGCCTCTGTTAGAGAGCTCGGGCATTGCGAAGAATTTGATTGAGGCTGAGAGGAGCGAGGAGCAAGAATGACAATGAGGCAAGAGAAGGTTGGAGAAGAACCGTGGCCGACGCCCCAAGCCGAAGCGTGCACGGCTCTGCACGAAGCGATGGGACCATGCATGCTGGTCCCATCAAGAAGATTCCGTAAAGGAATCTGGTCGCGCACTTTCGTTACGTTGTAAAAACCCGGGATTCATAGCCGTCGATGAAATCTTGTCACTTGCAGGAGGCCGCTTTCCTCTTGTGCTGGCAGGACCGGCTTCCTCGGATTGGCTGCAAATGCAGCACGTCATGACGTTATCGCCAGGCTGGCCCGAGTGGAGGTTGGGAATCGTCATCCAAACCTCGCTTAAGGTGTCATCCTGTACTGTGCATGTATTTCTGCATGTTACGCCCCAAATTCATTTTGCATTATACATAAGACATGGGCGTTATATTTTTCCAGCCTACTGTTAACACCCCTTCGTTTTTTTAATGAATTTTTTACAATACCCTAGGGTGTTATATACGGGGGAATACGGTAAGCTACAAAACACAGTACCACATCAACACCCCAGCCATGGGGGCATTCCTATATTACTCGGTGATTGTGAAGCTAACACATTCAAACCCACAATTGTGAAAGCTTGCTTGGGTCATCTTGGCAAAGGCAGCGTGCTTCATTTCATATGGGATTGCGTACATGGTTCTCGTCCAATAGACTACACCTACAAATAGGGTGGGTGGGTGGGGAAAACGAAACTGGAACTAGAAATGAAGAACGTGGGTGAGGTCAAATGGCCTCACGTGTGAGTAGCGCTTCGACGCTGTCCTTGCTGCGTTGGCCCTCGCTGCACTTTCACAATACGGTACCCATTTTTATAAAGCGTTACACGCTTTCAAAAAATTACATTTGTGCGGTGCAACTGCAATGCCAAAGCAAATATTCTGCTGTTTTTTTACTCAAAACACACTACCTAGACTGAGCACTGACTTGGATCGTGAAAACTTATGAAGAAAAGGTGATCGCACTGCACTCAGCTGTGAGTGCTCTTGCTTCGGCTCATCAAGGTGGTTCCGAGTCTGCTGCTGCTGCTGCTGCTGCTGCAGAAGGCATTCACTTCTGTTACCTCCTGGAATCTGCATTTTCTTACAGAAAGTAAAGTTTCGCCAGGTTTTCTTCACATCCATTTCTCTCGTGTCCTTAGAGCAGGCTGGCTGCTCGTCCTCCTGACCAAGAGTGACCAAGCCCCCACTACCTATGCTGCTGCTGCTCCTACCGCTGCTACCTCTCGTGCCGCTGCTGTCACTGTTACCACTAGAAGATGCTGTGATTGGGAGATGGAACCCTCCCGTACAGTGGCTGCTGGTGTCACCATCACTTGCCCCATCACTGCAACTGTAACCCGGACTAGGGTTACCACCAGCACTGCAAGAAGGGGCATCAGCGTCCCTGGTAGGAGAGCAAAAGGGGGGCTGGGGTGAGAGAAAGGGGTAGGCTGGTTGGAGGGCGTGTGAGAGTCTGTGCCTTGTGTCTGTGAAGCTTTGGCCCCAGGCCCTGGTGGGAGTGACAGCACTGCTATCACTGGCAGGGGTAGCAGACACTGCAACAAGAGGGGTAGTGGCGGCTGCAGCAGCAACAGCTCTTGGGGAGGCAGCAGTGTGGTGTGAGGGTCTGTGCCTTGTGTCTGTGAAGCTTCGGCCCCACGCCCTGGTGGGAGTGACAGCAGCACTATCAGGGGTAGCAGATGCAGCAGCTAAGGCTACTGGGGAGGCAGCAGCTGGGTGCGAGGCTCTGTGCCTTGTGTCTGTGAAGCTTCGGCCCCAGGCCCTGGTGGGAGTGACAGCAGTACAGTCACCAGAATTACCAGACACAGCAGCGACAGGGGAGCGATCGCTGATAGCAGCAGCAGCAGCAGCAGCAGCAGCAGCAGCAGCAGCAACAGCAGAAGCAGCTGCAGCAGCGGTGTGTGCTCTATCCAGTGGGCTCCCACCCATGGTTTGGCATCTCCTGTGTCTAAGCCCCCTCATAGGACCAGGCCCTATGACTTCCATTCCCATTGCCAAGCCAGTTGACTCAGGAGATAGTTGAATCCAGGAGCCAGTTGCCAAACCTGTTAACAAATCCTCGTCTGTTAGCTGCTGCACAGCATGCTCTGCTGCTCCTGCCCCTGCTGTTGCTTCTGCGTGGTTCTGTAGGGGACTGAGCTTAAAAGCTGCAGTCTTCCCAAGTGTTTGGCTGCGCCTGTGGCGCTTCCCATTTTCAAATAAGCCTCCCCTGATTCTGCTGCTGCTGCTGCTACAGGCATCTTTGGCACCCGAATTGTTAAGGCCTGTGCTCTTTTCACTGTAGCGAGTATCATTACTAGTGGCACTGCTGTTACCGGTACCATTTGCCAGGCTGAAAAGTTCTGGTAAGCTGCTGATGCTCCGGCTGAATCTACGCATAAAACGCTTCCCACTTGGCATACTTGTAGCAGAACTGGAGTTTGCGATAGCGGATGCTGGGTCAACTGGGCTTGGACTCTCAGGCTGTTCTGCAGCGCGCGAACCAATCAGCATGCTCCAGGGCCGGTCAAAATACAAAGAATGAGTGTTTCGACGCACCAGAGGGGGCAGCGAGCTGAAAAAATCGCCTGCCCGTGCGCGAGTGCTGCTGCCTCTGCCGTTCCCGTCGCAGCTGCTTTCGTCTGCACCACACCCCTCTTCGTCAATTTCGCTCGTCGCGAGCTCATCGTCGTCACTAGCGGCTTGTGTTTCGCGAACGCTACCCAGCCCACGCGCGCGATTCGCGCTTCCCCTTTGCTCCAGATCCTTGGTAACCAGCCACGGGTGGTTGACCACCGCTTCGATCGATAAGCGTGCGCCAGGCTCTATTTCCAACATGCCACGAATCAAAACTTTCGCCTCCGCCGAAACTCGCGCCCACACGTTGGTTCCGCTCTGGGCTCCGCCGCCAAACCCCACATCCAGATCCCCGGTATAAGCCTCCCCACTTTCGTAGAACCGCGCGTCATTGCGTTCGCCTGCGGGAAACATGAGCGCGTCTAGATGCTCGCGCGCGCGCGCAAGCTGGCGGAGAATCTTGCGCTCGTTGAAACCGGAGAAGGGGACGGACGACGAGAGAAGCGCGAATAGCACCACCCCAAGCGACCAAACGTCAGCTTTCATCGGACAGCCAACGTCAACGTCAGCTGTTTCCTTCACTCTATCGCCGGTCGTAGGCGTGACAACAGCTCCCGTCATCGTTACAACAGCTCCCTTCGGGAAAGCTCCCGTCGTCGCAGATTTCAGGAGTTTGAAACTCTCCATACGCGATACAATCAGCTCTGGGGCTGCGTAGTGCACCCAGCTTCCGCCATCTTCTCCCCCGCAACCTAACTTCCCCCCCAAGCCGCCCCTTTTCACGGCGTCACGAATCCTCGATTCCACCGACGCCGCCGTCTCCCCACTGCCACCCTCTGCCGCCAGCGTGACGGTGACGTCACCTTCCGCCACTGTCACCGCAGGCGGCAGCAGCTCCACTTTTTCCGCGCTCCCGAAATCCGCGAGCTTCGCGAACACGGGAGCGAGCGCGGCCGCATGCGATGCCGCCGCCGATTCGGACCCGCCGAAACCACCACCTGAACCACGGCCCGCCGCCGCGGCCTCAGAAGCGCACGCCTGCGCGTACGCGGAGAAAATGGTCGGAAGGGCGCGCGGCGCGCGCGTTCCACTCGGCCCGCCGCGCTGTCCGCGCGGTCCCTGCGTGGCAGGGGCGGAGCGTCGAGAGCTCAGGAGCACGTTCTCGAGGCGGATGTCTCCGTGCGCGACGCCGCTCTCGTGGCAAAATCGCACCGCCGCCACAACCTCGCGGAAAATCGCACGCGCCTCGGGCTCGGGAAGAGCCCAGCCGCGGCACCCGCCGCCGCCGTCGCCGCTCCCTCGTGTCGCGTCCAGCTTGCTGCTGGATTTTCCCCGCCGGAGGCTCAGGGCTCGAGAAACGCTGCCGACATTAGTCCCTCGGTTAGCACCTGCGCTAACACCAAAAGCAGTGCGAGAATTAGCACTGCTGCGCGGGTGGACACCGGCGGCAGCAGTCCCGCTGCCACCACCGCTGCGCGCCACTCGGTCTTTATACACGTCCGGAGGGGTTTCGCCAGCTCTTTTCGCGGATTCGACAATGTACGTCAGCAAGTCACCCGAGTCGCAGAATTCTGAGGTAAGATACACGGCGTCGCCTTCCTCGAAAGCTCCTTTGAACGTGAGAATGTTGGGGTGCTTCCCGGAAAGATCCTCTGCTACAGCCACCTCGCGACGGACGGCGTCGCACGACGGCTGTAGCCGAGCTGCGCCGGTCGCAGGCGAGCTGTCGCCAGCTTCGGCGATTCTGTCGCCGGAGTCTCCGAGCGACGATTTGAGGATCTTCTTGCAAGCGATCTGCTCGCCTGTGCGACCGTCCTCGCACAGCCAGACTGTCGCATGGCGACCCTTGCCGACGATTCTCAGGAATAAGAGGTCGTCGGGAATTCGACTTGGACGGAGGAGGATTGAGGTGGAAACCCGCCGTGCCCGCATCTTTTCCAACTGGGGGGGGAGGCCGACCATGGTCGGAATGAGTAGGCAGACCCGCCCTAGACAGACCGATCTATAGGTTTGCGGCCATTGCTGAAGCACGAAGCGGAGAAGCAATGAAGCTAGGAAAGAAACAGGAACGAATCATCTGCTTTGCGAAGAAATGGCTTCTTCCGTGCTTGACTTCTAGGCCTCGGTGCAATCTAGACTCCTCGTGGTTGTGAGAAGCCAGAAAACGGAAGTTTGGCTGTACGCGTGATACTGACACTGTATGACTCTACTACGCTTGACTTCAAATCCAGGGTGACGGGAAGAACCGTACATCACCACACCGAATCTCACCGCAAGCACCGTCACCGCACATATCAGAGGTGCGTGACGAAGAATAATTCGTGGTCAGGACAGGTCACAGGGCTGGACGGGGTGGACCGTGGAGCTTGCTCCAGCAAGGAAAACCCATCGCGCAGTTTGCTTTGCCCAAAGCGCGGAACGTTCCCACACAGCACAAGCCGTTACACGTATTTGCCTTGTTTTTTCCTGCCCGCCGAAAATGCTCCTGGTCTGATTCTGTGGGTTGTGCCCACCCCAAATTCCGCGGACGAATCAGGGCACTTTCAAGGGTGAGTGTCAGACCCGATTTCGACCCGCGGCCGAAGGAGCCGCGCGCTGTACTGGCCTAACTTAGCGAGTCCACCAGATACTTGCGAGTTTATTCCTGGTGGAAGTTCATTTGTGCGACTTGTTAGTTGTTCGGCTTGACAGCTAACTGGCTGGAGCCGTCAGTTCTTTGCAAGACCCGAGGCAATTTTTTTCCAGCCTCGGATCTTTCGCTTGACCCTCGGGTCTAACACTCGCTGCGGAATCCCCTCCTGCCTTCTCAGGACAGCGAAACGAAACCAGCAGAGCAGAAGTCAAGAGATTTGGAAACGAAGACCTTCCCTCCCTCCCCTGTCCAACAAGGAGGGGCTGAAGCGCACCGCGCATGCGCGTATGTGTAAAACGGGCGCCTCGTATCTGTACCTGTAAACCGTCAGATCGACGCAAGGAGCCGATCCCACGGCTTACTGACCATAACCCTGACAGACAGGCGCTTGGCTATCCAATCAGAGCACGCATATTTCTTTGGCATGGTCTGCCCTGAAAACCGGAAAAAAAGCCAGCCGAACAAGACCAAATTTCACGCATAGGGACAAGCACCCCAATAGGAACTTCTGTACAGTTATGAAGCTCTGTGGAAAATGACACTGTAAAGGCATTGGTTCGAAAGAGCAAATAATACGACTTTGACGAAAGTGTATGTCCCTTACAATTTAGATGGTGCCTAAAATATCATATCTAAAGCATGAAGCTTTTTTGTACCTCACCGTGTGGCAACATACTTCACCGAATTATTTGTATATGATGTACTCTATACAAAAGAATAGATGCTTGGCCTAAAGGAACATACGAAGATCATATTTTTTTGGGGAGCACTCACTAGCAGGCACGCTTGCTCCTGCCATGGAGAAAGCTTCCTCAGACATCCAAACTGCCCTGACTGTGGCCATCTGCCTTTCCCTCCATCCTTGCCCCTCCCCCCCTCCGCTTCTCACTCCCAATCGCCTCCTCATCTCCCTCTCCCTCATCTCCTCCCACCCCTCACTACCATGCCCCCTCCATCCGAGACCATCACCATCCCTTTGATTCTCGTCCATAAACTCAACCAGCTGTTCGGCTGGTACAATTAGAGTCGACTCAAAATACTCCTGCTGCACGCCTCCTTCCCCAACCGCAACTGCAGCTCGTGCTCTCCCCGTTGCTGCTCCTAGTGCTAATGCGGGTCCTGCTGCTGCCGTTACCTCTGCTGCTGCTGCTGTTGCTGCTGCTGTTTCCCATTCCCAGCTGCCCATTTCCTCCTCCCCACCATCTGCTGCTCGCACTTTAGTCTCCCCCTCCCCACCCCTCTCGCCCACCCCCTCGCCATCCTTCACCATCCACGCCACCTCCTCCCCCCTGCCACTTTCCTCCTCCATATCATTCTCTCTGTCGTCCTCTGCTGCTCGCGTTTCAGTCTTCCCCTCCCCACCCCTCTCGCTCACCCCCTCTCCATTCTTCACCATCCACGCTACATCCTCCTCCCGCCTGCCACTTTCTTCCGTTCTCTTCTCTCTGCCATCCTCTGCTTCCCGTAACCCCTCCCCTCCCCTCTCGCCCACGTCCTCTCCATTCGTCACCATCCACGCTACATCCTCCTCCCGCCTGCCACTTTCCTCCTCCATACCATTATCCTCCTCCCACTCGCTCTCGCCCACACTCTCGCCAATCACCTGCTGCCAGCTCAGCTGGCAGCTACTCTCCGTCTCGCAGTCATCATCATCATCATTATCTCCTGTCCCAAATATGCTGCCGTCGCTGTCACTGCTGTCGTCACAGCTGCCAGTGCCGTTGCTGACTGTGCTGGTATCGCTCTCACCCCCACCATCGGTAACACCATCAGCAGCAGCGGCGGCAACAGAGTTACCAGCCACAGGACCGTTACCAGCACCATTACCAGCACCATTACCAGCACCATTGTCATTCCCAGCAGCAGCAGCAGCAGCAGCAGCATCAGAGCTACCAGCAGCCCCATCGCCAATACCAGCAGCAGCACCGTTAACAGCAAAATTGCCACCAGCAATAGCGGCAAAATCGCTACCACCTGTCCTGTACCAGTCTAGCTGCGCCTCTTGCCCCACCCGCGCCACTTGCGCCTCTTGCGCCTCTCGCGCCCCTTCCCCCACTCCCCCCACTCGTGCCTCTTGCGCCTCTTGCTCCGCCTCCGCTGCTGGCGAATTAAGGTCAAACTCGAGCCGCGCCGACGGACCAAAGGAGCGCCGCATACAGTCAAAGGTCGCAGTAGCGGCGTCAGGCGTGGCGGCGTGCCCCGGCTCGCGGGCGGAAAACATTGAGTCTACGCGCGGGGCGATTGGCTGCGCGCCAAGCGCGGAAGCTGTACGGTGCGCTTGAGTCGACTCAAAAGCAGAAAATGCGAAAGGAGCGTTGGCGTGCGCGCCACGCGCGGAAGCTGTCCACTGATTGCCATTGCCACGCTCCGCGCCCCCAGCCGCAGGCGCGGAAGCGGCCCGCTGATCGTCACTATGCGCCCCCGCCGGTTCCGCCAGCCCACGCGCTCCTAAAATGCTCGTGTCTGCTGCCGCTTCGCCCGTTTCTGGAGGCTCGGCCCCGTTAGAGTCACTGCTAACGGCAGGAAACCCGCCGGTAGGAAACCCGCCGGCAGGGCGTGAAGGGCGCGATGTGGCTGCGACAGGCGGCACGCGCTCCAGGGGGAAATGGGGCAGGACGGGCCGCGGAAAGACGGCGGAGGTGATATTGCCAGGAGAGTGATATCGCCAGACTGACGCGCCTTGATTGGATGAAGCTTGATTTGATCCGCCGCCCAATTGCGGCATCGGACGGTGCGCAAATTCCGTATCGACCTGCTGGAGCCCGGCGCTTTTCGGGTACGCGATATAGCGCTCCCCGGTAACAGTGGGAACGGCCGCATCAGTGAGAGGACCGAAATTGACACCCATATTTGCGGCTCTGGTTAAGCCAATCGCTGTAGTATTCGCGGAAAAGCTTCCGGCGACAGGACCTCTGGAACCAGCAGCTTTTGAGTCGGCGGCAGAATTTTCTGGGACGGAACTACCAGAACCAACAGGACCGGGGAAAAGGGCCATGATCCGTTGAGTCACGAATTCATGCTGCGAAATCGTGCGGTTACCACAGAAAGCGTCGCCCGAAACGCTTTCGCCGATGCCGTCGGGAGCGTCACGCGGCGGAGCAGGCATCGGTGCGAGAAATAAATGAAGGTCCGTTCTTTGAAACTGGTACGGTTAGAGACCAGAGTGAGCTAGAGTACGCTAAACCCGATTCCACGATATCGCTAAACCCGATTCCAGAGCAGGCGTCCGTTCTTTGAATCTACTACGGCTTGCGACCAGAGTACGCTAAACCCGATTCCACGAAATCGCTAGAGTACGCTGCTGCGCAGTTGTGAGAATGAGAATAAGGAATGAGAATCAGGAATGAGAATCAGGAAAGAGAATCGAGGTGATTCTGAACGGAGAACAGGTTGTGCCAAAAGCTGGCTTCACCAGCGCGTGATGGTCGCCGGCCAGCGTAAACCGAACTGAGTTAGACAACTCCAAACGGGGAATGCTGAGGTGAGAGCTAGAACGGGGTAATCCTGCTTTACAGGGAGAGAGAGGAGAAACGAACTGACGCTGGTAGGCTTACCTCGCGATTGTAGCCACAATCTAGAAATGGGGAGAGGAAGGGTTTCTGGAGGCAGAATTGGTGTGCGCAGGTTGGGAGGGTAGAGTGATAGTTGTCGAGCAGCAGTACTGTAATGGGGTGCGTCAGGTCACTTTAGTGCGGTTGAGTGTGTTTCATGGCGTTTCATGAGGGTCTGGTTGAGTTCTAGAACTGCCAAGTACGGTTTGAACTGCAAGATGTACTCGCGTGAGAAGCCAAACGGAGATCCAACATTGCCGAGGACGTGTGCTAGCGTTCGTTTTTTGCCAATACCCTACTGAACCTTTTAACAGAGCTATTTTATTCTTCGAATGAGCAATCAACCTCACTCAACCGCACTCCGGCGTAGGCTTAGGACACGCCGTGCAGAGTGCAAGTGGTCAAGAACATTGTTCTCGTCCAGCAAAAATGACACGTGGATTATGGTTCTCGAAGTTTCTGTGCGAGCCTCAAAACAGTCCATTACTGGGTGCGAGGGGTATCCCCAATCGACGATAACCTGTAACCCTACAGTAAGTGCAATACAGTACACATGTCGGGCGTTATGATGTACTGTAGTGCACCAATAACGCCCGACAGTCTTGGACGGAAGCAGGCATGGAGCGCCAGCAGCAACCGTCAGAACCAGGGCTGACGCTAAGGTTTCTCAATACCCTGCTTCTCCCGGAAACCCCCCATCCCCGCACTCTGTTTGGTCCGGATTCGGAGGATTTAGCGAAAATTCCTGGTCGAATGTACCAGGGGTGTGGGGGAACTTCGCGAAAATTGCTCTGTTGCGAGGGGTGTGGGAATGTCTCTGGCTGTGATGGACTTCGCCGAGATTTTCTTGTCGGAGTGGCTGGGGGAAAATATCTCTGTCCGTGAGGACTTCAAAAGTTTTACGCCCCAGAGGACATCGAATCCACGGCGGAAGGGGGGTTTGGGGCATTCCCAGAATGCCCCTCCAAGAATTGTGTTTCGTGCGGAAAACTCCCCTCACGCACTTGTAAAGATTCCGGGTTCCCGGAGATAACTACCCGTTCAAATTCCGGAATCAAGTCGAAAGTTACTCTTAATGTTTATTGTATATTAGGTGATTACCTTTGAGACGTCGGCCAGAACTTCACACATCACAAACGGAGGCGCTGCGCCGCTGTCATATCTGCGCCAGCCACGTCAGGTAGGTGGCATGTGTGGCTGGGTGTACGCGCGGCGAGAGTCCTCTTGACTCAGACTTCATGGGTACGTGTGGCGGAAATTAAGCTTGACCGACAACTCTGGGTCCATCCAGAACGGGTGGTGGATACTGTACTGTGTGGTAACTCCCCTGAACAAAAAGCTTTCTTGCCAATGGTTGCAAAGACTAGTACAACCACGAAACACGGTAGTACAGTGACACGAAACGTACAGCAGTAGATTCGCTGCTACACTGTTTGCGATGCGATCTCGTTTCTGGCTGTGATTATGGCGACGACAGGCGCTCACGTCCAATTCATCCACAGAAAGTAGGGTGCGTCCTCGTAGGGCTCATCTCATACTGCTGCTAGAAGGACATTCGCTATATGATGTCCCTTGCGAGCCTTCGGTTCTCCCAAACAGACATGTGTTCTTATACCGAGATACGCATGTGCTTCGCCGTTTACACTAAAAGCTGGACAGGAATTTTAGCTTCTTATAACCACCTATGAGCCCCATGATGTAAGACATCGCACAAAGCAAACACACATCTAGGCATTAATCTATTGCCAATTTGCCAATCCTACAACACTGCAAGAAGGCATTCATCATCCATTGCTAATCCTACAACACTGCATGACCCACATGATTTCTACATTCCAACGCGCAGGTATAGCACTGCACAGGCCAGCAGGAAAGGTGGCACCGCATAAGGTGGGACATCACGCTCTTTTTAAAGTAACACATGACTTTTCCCAGCCTTACTCAAACAGCAAGTTATCTCCCATCATCTACCATCAATCCCCGGCCAGGTACTGGACAGCCTGGGTGGCAAAGTGCGTCAGAACACTGCCTTTACCATGCATTGAGTACACTAACAAACTCCAATCCACCAACCATCAGCTCAGCTCTCCTATTTACCGTCTCTCCCCGGCCAGGTACTGCGCAGCCTGGGTGGCAAAGTACGTCAGGATGACATCAGCGCCAGCTCGCTTGATGCACAGGAGCGACTCAAGCACCGCCTTCTTCTCGTCCAGCCACCCGTTGGCTGCTGCCGCCTTGATCATGGCGTACTCGCCAGACACCTGGTAGGCTGAGATGGGCAGAGCTGTGTTGTCCCTCAGCAGGCGGATCACATCCAGGTAAGGCATGGCGGGCTTGACCTGGCAGTCAGGAGAGGGGCACAGGGAGCAGGGAACACAGGGAAGGGGGGAAGGGAGAAAGTGAGTGCCTTGATCATGGCGTACTCCCCCGACACCTGGTAGGCCGAGATGGGGAGCGCTGTGTTGTCGCTTAGCAGGCAGATCACGTCCAGGTGAGGCATGGCGGACTTGACCTGGCAGTCAGGAAAGGGGGAAGAGGGGGGGGGAGGGAGGAAGTGAGACCTTTGATCATGGCGTACTCGCCCGACACCTGGCAGGCTGAGATGGGCAGAGCTGTGTTGTCGCGGAGCAGACAAATCACGTCGAGGTAAGGCATGGCAGGCTTGACCTGAGGGCCAAGGGGGTAATAGATCGGGGCACAGGCAGCAGAAGAGACGGGGCCATAGGGAAGGGGAATGGGAGAGGTGGAGGTGAGTGTGTTGATCATGGCGTACTCGCCCGACACCTGGTAGGCTGAGATGGGCAGAGCCGTGTCGTCCCTCAACGGGCGGATCACATCGAGGTAAGGCATGGCGCCATGTGCACTATGAGGATGCCAGCTCCCTCACACTCACCCGCATGTGCAGGCGTCATGGTGAGCTTTGAGACGTCTCAAAGCACGTCCAGGTAAGGGAGCCAAGTGCACCAGTAGGGATGCCAGCTCCCTCACACTCACCCGCATGTGCCGGCGTCATGGCGAGTGAGACCTTGTTCTTTTGCCATGCTTTGAGTACCACTTGGGGCCGCGCCGTGTTGTCCCTCAGCAGGCGGATCACGTCGATCGAGATAAGGCACGGTGCCTTGTGCAGGCGTTACGGTGAGTGAGACCTTGATCGTTGGCTGTGCTTCGCTTACCGATATATTTTCGAGAAAGAAAGAAACAGAGATATAGAAGCTTTTGAGGCGCCTGAAAAGCAGAGATATAACAATAAGAGTCTCACCATCATGCTGCCAGCCCCCTCGCTCTCGTCCGCATGTGATGGGCGGTGCCGTGTTGCCCCACAGCAGGTGGATGAGAGACTCAGAGATATCTTTGCGGATATCCATGCGTAGCAATGAGAGTCTCACCATCATGATGTCTGCCCCCTCGCTCTCATCCGCGTGTGTCTCAATAAGCGCCTCCCGGTAGTTACCAGGGTTCATCTGGTACCTGCTCATGTGAAATAAGGGCAGGGGGGCATATAAACAGTACAAATACACGGTACGTAAATGGCTGCACATAGGCATAGGCAAGTTGTTTATTAAAAGCCTTCTCGGGGGCGAGGGGGGGGGGGGTAGGGAGGCTGATTTGAGCATAGGATGGTGGAGGGCAGGAGGGAGCAGACAAGGCAGGGCAGCACAAACTCACGTCTTCTTGTCGCCAAAGCGGGGGTTGGAGTCAAGGGCTTCCCTGAAGGGGCCATAGAACGCGCTGGCATACCTGCAGGGGAACATTGATGAAGGGGATGCAGAGGGGTGGAGGGGGATACATAAGGGTGAAAACGGGCGGATGTTGCAGCGAAGCGGGGGTTGGAGTTGAGGGCTTCCTTGAAGGGGCCATAGAACGCGCTGGCATACCTGCAGATGATCAAAGGTGAAGGGGGTTTCAGGGGGATGCAGAGGGGTGGAGAGGAGTGGAGAGGGTGGAGGAGGGTGGTTAATAGCGCAAAGCGGGAGTTGGAGTCGAGGGCTTCCCTGAAGGGACCGTAGGCATACCTGCAGTCGACCAAGGGCGAAGGGGGGTTCAGGGGGATGCAGAGGGGTGGAGAGGGGTGGAGGAGGGTGGTTGATACAACAAAGCGGGAATTCGAGTCAAGGGCTTCTCTGAATGGCCCGTAGAACGCACTGCATCCCTCTGAACCCCATTTCCATGTTGCTCCGCTTTCCCGTAGAATCCGTGTGTAATGAGTCGAGTTTTGAGTCGACTCAAAAATCGACTCGTTACACACCCATGTTGCTCCGCTTCCCCGTAGGATGCACTGGCGCGTATCTAGTTTTGAGGCGCCTCAAAACAAGAATGCACTGGCGCGTATCTGCGAGGGGAGAAACAGGGGAAACGGGGAATCATGGAAATGGGGTCCAGAGGGATACAGAGGGGTGGAGTGTTGCGCACCACTCACAACTCAACTCACGCACTACTCACTCACCATGCAGAGGGATGCAGAGGGGTGGAGGGCGGTGTATGCCATGATGGACACCTCGTTAAAGCCCTTGTCGTCCAGAGCAGCGCGGATGGCTCATGGTTGAGTCCCAGGCAAGAAAAAGACTCAACCATGACTCAACGAGTCTCGTCATGGGTGAGTAGCTTGGCAGAGGGGAAAGGCTCACTCACTTGGCGGTGTACGACATGATTGACACCTCGTTAAAGCCCTCGTCGTCCAGAGCAGCGCGGATGGCGCCCACACGGCCGTCCATCATGTCGCTGGGGCTCACCACATCCGCCCCTGCCCGCGCCTGGTCACACGAAAAAGGGGGGGAGGAGGACGGTAGAGGGGAGAGGGGAGAATAACTAGCATGAGCAGTGTGCATGGTGCGAGCGCCCACACGGCCGTCCATCATGTCACTCGGGCTCACCACATCTGCCCCTGCCCGCGCCTGAGTCACAAGAAAAAGGGGGGGAGGAGAAGGATGGTAGAGGGGGGAGGGGAGAATAACTAGCATGAGCGGTGTGCATGGTGCGAGCGCCCACACGGCCGTCCAT